AAAATATCTTTGACATTCAATTTGCCCGTGTAAACGGGACTTAACAAACTCTTAAATGTACTTAAACATATATTATTTATTCGACAAAAGATGTTATTTATAATTTGTATCCTGCCAACGCTTTATATGGAAAGTCTCTGATTTTCATCTGACCCATTGTTGATGTTTGCAAGGGATCATATTTAATAAACAAGTCGATGTTCTTTCTCCATGGAAATCATTTGAGATATCTACTCAGAACGGTTCGTGTATTGTTATATAGTTGTGTCTCCCTTGAATTCACTGATACAAGATCAAATATCTCGACTGAAATCAAGTGGCCTTCGCGCGTCTGCCATTCTATAAATATTCGCAAAAAATATTCCATGGAGAAATCACAATTGGATTGTACATTTTGGGTTTAAATGGGGATTACTAACATACGTATACGGATGACTATATTATTAAATGCGGTAAAGTATATTGGTAGATGATATTCATAAACAATTGACTTACTTCTGTTGACATGGGTAAAGGTGTATAGCAGATCTAGTTTCATCACTCGAGGAGGACACATTGACAAAGTCAGTGTAAAAGCCAAACTGCGCCTTCGACTTTCAACGGCAGCAATATTTGCCGAAGATCTGACAACGGATTGAAAAACTTCAGGGCATCGCTTGGATCGTGAATCTTTTACTAATGATTTCTGTGTTTCGGAAATTACATTCTTGAACGTCGTTCACAAGGACGGCACTCGATCGGCAGATCAAATAAGGAAAATCATCAACATGCGGCAGTCTCTCGCCATGAATCAACTCCGTGTTATTCAAAATTCTTTAATTTGTTGTGTTGAAGAGATTCTTACAATGTATCTGATCTTGTACACCATTATATAATCGACAACGAGAACTATTTTCAGTTGATCCAGGAGATCTTTTTGTTAAATTTCTTTGGCGTGCTTTTGCTAAGCCGATATATATAGTGACAGTGAAATATGAGATATTTGTAATCCTTGATAGTAATATGATACTCTTTCGGCTGCAACACATGATTAATCTGTTGTTTTAACATTTCGTCAAGAAAAAATCTTTTATTATTGTCTCGTACAGTTAGAATTTTACTATTTTACAAATTCAGAAACAATTTCAATACGTACAAATCGTTTCTACCACTCGTCCCTGAATAGCAATTTATTTTAGCACCCAAAATCTGGGAGCCACGTGACCAGCCGGCACCAGGGTCTTTCTGCAGCTTGGGACGTGCGAAGGTAAGAGCCTGGGAACGAGGTTGGGAAAGCCCATACCTACTACCTATATGTGCCTACGAAATAAAACAATCGTTCACGAGCCTTGAATAACAGAAAAATATCGATTAGCATTAAAAAGGTTTAAAAAATTATTTGGCTCAAATGCTCAATGAAAATCCACCCCCATCAAATAATCCGCCACTAATACATAATATTTCTAAAATCCATATATAGCTAGAATAGTCGTTGCATGTAAATCGGCCATTTCTACAT